GAGATCCCACGGCTGCTCGGAGAGCCCGGCGGAGGGAGGGAGTTTGGGGAGGGGGAAGAGCAGGAGGAGGAGAAAGGGGGAGGGGGAGAGACTACAAACGAGCAAGGATGGAGTGGGGGGTGGGGAGAGCAGGGGGAGGGGGGAGAGAAGCGATCGCGAGAAAAAAAAAAGAAAAATGCAACCTCCCAAAATAAAGAGCAAAGATTGCATTAGGAGCGGACAGCGCTGCAGAAATAGATGGCAGCTCCGTGTCAGTGAGTTTGCATCCCCCTTCCCGATCCACGAGCTGGAGTGGTTAGAGCCCTGGAAGGGGATTGTTACTCCTGTGGAGAAGTCCCCTTTCCTGGCAGTCGTCTGCACTGTACACGCCGGATGCCTCTCTCCATCCGCCCCGCTCACCCTCTCCTCTCTCACCTCCTCTCTCCCTCGCTCCTGCATTGATTTTTTTCCTTTTCAGTTGACTGAAACAAAACAAAACAAAAGGGCCACTGGATGTCTGCCTTCTTGGGGGGTGAGCCAGACAGACTGACAAACCGACAGACCCAACTGTGTTCGGGGGAGGGTTTCTCCGCCCGTCCTGCCCGGCAGCAGCAGCATGGACGTGTTGGCTAGTTATAGTATATTCCAGGAGCTACAACTTGTCCACGACACCGGCTACTTCTCAGCTTTGCCATCCCTGGAGGAGACCTGGCAGCAGGTGAATGATTTAAATTACTTGTGTAAATCGTGTGGTGGCGGCGGAGACGCAGGGGCGGCGTCGGTGTGGGCTTTGGGTTGAATTTGTTTGTTTTATTTATTTATTCCCTTTTTGGCTGTATGTTGTTAAAAATGTTTTCTGAAACAGTCATATGCGCTTACCTCTCCACCCACCCCTAACCCCTTAGTGTGCACAGCTGAGCAGCCGGTGGAGCTGCCTGCGTTTCAGTCACCAACACACATCCTTGCGCACACGTTGTCGGGCTCACTGTCCCCCGGCAGAGACCTGCCGAACTTCTGCGGTTCGGAGGAGCTGGGTGGGAAGGTGATTTTGGGGCTTTACGAGCAATCACTGACAGGACACCACGTCCCTACCTGCAGGAGCTCTACCTATTTGGTACCTAAAATCAGGTTCATCTATTTCAACTGGTGCTGACGACCGTCAGATGGGGGTGGGGGGCAGGAGAAAAGCGGACTGTTTACCTAGTAATTAGCGAGTATCAATAAAGAATAGGAGCTTGATTTTTGAGATTAGAAGGTGAGCAGAAGGGAAAGGAGCCCTGTGACAGAAGATACTCAAGGATATCTACAAGGAGGATGGGGAAATGAATCCATCCTAGGCTGACAGTGCATTGTAGGTTTCCCCAGTGTAATGTCTCCAGAAAGAAAACACCCTGTACGTTTGTCCTTGTTTCTCTTTTTTGTTTGGGGTCCCTCTCCAGTTAGACAGCACAACCTCGGACAAAGGGTGGTGTGTGCTTCCATGTCTCTGACTTTGTCTTAGAGGACTAGTTAAGAAACTCCTAGGATGCTGAAGGGAACCGATGCCAAGTTGGCTGGGCGTCCCAGCGAGGATGAAGCAGGGCTGGTGACAAGTTCATTGGGCTTTGTGAAGTAGAATAAAGAAAGTGCTGGTCAGTGGAAAGTGCTGGGTCTGCTGCGGAAACTGTTTTTTTTTTTTTTTTTTTTTTTTTTTTTCCCAGCAGCGATTAGGAGCTGCTAGGGGGACATTCTGCAGGAAAGATGGTGGGTGGGGGTGGGGGACACGGGTATTTAAAAATTCTACAATATGCACCATGGAAAGTCTAAGAAGGCAGTCCAGATTTGCACATTGGAAGTGTGAACTTGTACAGTCCGTCTTGGAGAAACCCGCGTGCCCTTGGGGAGCGCTGCGAGAGGCTCGGTGTGTGGCTGCTCATGTAACTTCTCCGCTCAGTGACAGCAGCTTGTTAAGGCTAATGAACGGCTGAATTTCCTCTGCCAGGATCCGAAGCAGGATTTGCCAGCTTGAGGCTGGGTTGTAACAGTTGCTGCTTTAGCAAGAGAGGTTCGGCTTTTGGTATCAGGAGCCGAGGGGCAAAGCTGATCCTCAGACTGTACCATTGTTACTAGTTGTTGTTCTCCCGTGATTAGAGGCTGCGAGTTCTCCTCCAGGTACTGGTCTCTGGTGTCTGTAGGTCCACACATGCATTCCTATCCAAGGATGCTGGCAGATACTCTTGACTTTGTCTCTCTGTAAACACACAGTTCACACATTTTTAGCAGAAAGCATTTCTTCAATGCATCGTTTCCCTTATCCTTAACAAGACTAAATCTCATGAAGGGTCTCAGTGGATCTTTTCCCTCCCTTTATTTTGCATGCTAATTAAACCAAAATGTTGGCAGAATTTCATTTTCTGAAATTGCCTTCATTTCACACTGTCAGCCCACTGGTTTCGAATTGGTTGCCTATTAACAACTGTCTAGACAGGTTAGGGAAGGGAATCTGTTGATTTAGTCAGCCTGCCTAAGGCAGTCCTTGTTTGTGACTAACTGTTAAGCAGTGTTGGAGGGAAGAAAGTTGGCTTTATTTGTTACAGCGTTCCCTCCTGATGAATCACACAACTTTGTTTTGGTTCAAGTTTTCACAGTAGTAAAGCCTGCTTCGGGCGGAGGGAAGGCCTCTCCAGAGGAAACCTGCTTTTCTGATTTGACTAGACCATCCAGGAGAAACTCTGGATCTGCAAAGAAACATCACTGGTTTGACAATTAGAGGATGTATCAGATCTATTGTTTCCTAAGAAGCCATCTCAGCTCTTCCTTCTCTCCTCCTTCCCTCCCCCATCACCCTCTCCAGCTCCTTCCTTCTTCAAGGAACCTCCAGCTTGGTTTCTATCTGCAGGCAAAGGAATTTTTACCCCTTGGAACTCCCTCCTTATTTCTTGCCTTAACCCTCTCCAACTGCCAACCACTCTCATCTTAAAATCCTTTGCCAAGTTATTTCAGAGTCATGCTCAAAATCCATAGTGGAACATAACTTGTGGGGAAGTACTGTAAACAAGATGTCACTCCAAGGAGCTTTCTGCTCTCAACTCTGTTGTCATAACTGCTCTGTGTAAAGGTGACTAGGATCCTAAATTCATACTGATGACAAAATTTCTAACCTCTATCTCTTCCTTCCTCCCCCTTCCTGAGCCCCTGTGCTATTTCTGAGTGTACAGGATGGTGGTGGTTATATGCAACTGTTGGTTCCAAACCAACCATCAGATGGTGAAATTTTGAGACTCCTTTGCTCAAAACAGCTCAAGAAGGTTGCTACAAAAAGCCCCAGGCAGAAGGAAGTTTCCTGATGCTCTGGGGTAATTAGATTTTATAGGTCAAATGAGGAGTAATTACTAGATATTCTTCTTAAAGTGAACAATGTACCTGGCCTCAGGAAGATGAGTGAAATATGGAGATTCTGAAAATCTAATTAGGTTTCTAGAGAAACAGTGGCTTGGACAATAAGCCCAAGAAAAACTGGGCATTTGAAAATTGAGGATGGACTATTTGGGGATTTTACTTTAAATTTATGGTATGGGATAATTGTCCTGCTTCATAGTGAGTGAGCCTGTGACAAAGTCCCTGACTGTGACAGGGCCACCTCCTGTCATGGAGATCATCATTTTGACATTGGATTTTCAGGAAATGATACCTTAGCCATGTTACAGCTCCAACTCTGAAAATCATTGCTGGTGTAATTTTAAAATCCAAATGGACATCTGAGATTAACGGCTCTCCATTCTTGGGCTCTGACTGCATAGTTAAGCAGTTGGCCCAACTAACATCATCTCTGCCTGTCATATAACTGTAAATTACATTGTGCTTATGTGGCCTATTATTTTATGGAATTCTGCTGACACACAACTCTTAAGGCTCCCAGCCTTAAGCTCTTTGGAAACTTGTAGGAAATTTTCCAAGAGCTGTCTGAGCAAAAGTAGAAAAAAATCAAGGGTAGGACTGAAGATTATGGGGTACTACTTGATCATGGATAAAGGGAGACCTATTCATGACTTTTGTTGCCAATAGAAATCATGGTAGTTTTGGACCCACTGCTGACTTGGAAAATAAAAAGGAATTGATACAATACTCTTAGTTATTTTATTCCAGGATATACAAAGACTTTTAGAATTTTTATATATTCTTTATATGTAGTCTGCTATTTCATGAGTGCAGGTCAAGTAATGATATTCTAGCTCTTATATGGACTTAGCTTTGCTTCATGTCATTAAGGAGCATGGCATGTTTACTTGAAAACTTACGGAATTATGTTCCTTGTTAATGCTGATTCATAATTGGCAGATAGGGTCAATTTCAGGCTTCCCTTTTGCTCAGAGAAAATTTTCCACTGCTACTGGAAACAAATAAATAAATCATAGAACATTCCTCCCTCCTCCCCCATTGTTTTAAACTAATGGCATACTTGGCTACTGTAAAGACTAAAGTGTCCCCATAACACTGAAATTTCATTTTGGTTTCAGGCACCCTGCAACACTTTTTACAAGGGCCTTTGGTAAGAAGCATCTCTAAGGGTCAACCTGCAGAAATGGTTGCCTTCCAAGAACAGTCTCCTGGTACCAGGGATGGGATGTGGTCTGTGAGCCACATTGCTTCTCTTTCTGTATGATGATTTGCACTGCCTTCTACAGGTCGGAGCAGCCAGGTGCTGTCTCAGCCAGAAAGACAAAGCAAACTGTAGGGTCTGTTCACCCGTAGGTTTGCCTCTGTCCCCAAGTTGCAGAAAATCTTGTCATGAATTAGAATTTCTTGGCAACAGCACCATCCAGGGAAATTTGTAGACACAAAGGAGCCTTGCTAACCACACTGAAAGGATAAAATAGCTGGCTTTTTTTTTTGTATGTGATTTGTGTGTTCTTCTGTTACTGTAAATATGTTTGTTTATTTGAAACAGTAACTTGGTAGGTGAGAAAACATTAGAACTTCCTTATTATCCAGATTTTTCTTTATAAGGATGTAATCACTAAATAAATGTAGCTTTACAAATGAAAGCACATGTGAATTCAATCAATCACACACTTAGCCTTTCTTTAATAGATTCAGTTCCATGTTCTTTTAATAGACACATCTTTGTGTAGATTTAGGGGCTCTCAAGCATTATCATTCACTCTACCTGTTTGCAGTTTGGTATTTTTAAAGTGAGTGAACATTACAGTACAGATATTTTTACTACATCTGTCTTTAGTAGGGGGGGAAGGAAACCACCATTCTTTGTTCTTCAAGAACCTCCCACCCCCACTCCCTACCTAGAGGAGGGAGAAAGCGCTATTGGGGTCCCTTCCTTTTAAAAGGCAGAGCAGAAGATGCAGGGTGACAGGCTTGCCCTGAAATGATTTATGTCTGGGTACATCAGAGACCGTAAGCGTTCAGATGTGGGCTCTTGTCTCTCCAGCTCATTCTAAGTATAAATGCCAATGGGGGCTAATTTGCCTCTCCACTTAAATGGGAACAGTTTAGAGAGGGTCCTAATGGGGTTTTTACTAGCCATTCTCTTACGAATCTTTAGATTCTTCTTCCTTCAGAGGATTTCTGTATTTTAACTTTTTGAGTACAAGAATGCACTACAATCTTCTTTAATTGCTCTTTGTGCCTATTGGAGAAGAAGAATACAATTTACTCTGGCCAGTCACAACTGGCTCATGTTGGTAGGATAGCTGCTGTGATACCAGACGGGTTGGTGGATAC